TTGGTTCGTTTTAGATAAAAAGTTCTACTATGGATGAGGAGCTTATTTCCAGTGAAATCGATGCAAGCAATTACTAGTAAGAATAAAAAATTTGGGCAGAGGGGAAGGCAGTCAGAAAAGAAATCATCATTCTCTCTCTGAAAGAGCAGAAAGCCTGGATGACATCTGAAAATATCTTGCCGTGCTATGCATGGTACAGGAAAAACAGAGAGAAAAAAAAAAAAGGATTTTCTCGGATTCAAAGGTGAATCAAAAGGAATTGGCTTCTGCTTGGACAAGGCAGCCAGAGAGGCCACAGTAACAGATCCACGTGATGAACCAAGAGGCAACTGCAGAGCTCCCCAGACAACTTGCCTGAAGTGCCTGCCAAGGAGGCAGATGCTGCTGCTGGAAGAATATCTTCCACAGTTGGGCATCTGGGTTCAGTGCTTCCCACGTAAGGGAGAGGGATGGGAGCATCAGGCTGGCCCACGTCTTCCCGTTTAATTATTTCAACACCCATTTTAGACTTTCGTAAATAACACGTGTTATCCCGCCTTTGTGCGGGGAAAACGATAAGGAAGGAGAGGGGTTTTGTTCTGTAACACACCCCTTCCCAGGGTGTCTACATGGATGGGTAAAGACAGACTGGAGCTTGGCTGCCCTGTGCTCCAGCCTGGTCAGATGTGAGACAGCTCGGGTCTGGGAGTCGCAGAGCTGCCTTGCGGTGGCACGGAGCTCAACCTAATAAGCAGAGCAGGCTGAGATTCATTAATTTAACATTAATAAGCACAGCTTATTAGCTCAGGCACAGCGCTGGATAATGCAGGCACACAGCTTCTGGAGCAGAGCTGCGTCTGCCCTCGCCAACTCGGAGCGTGGTGCGGAGGACCCAGCCAGGGTGCTCCTCTCCCCTACTGCATTTTGCATTAGGGAGGAAAGAGTATTTTGCAGTCGCCGCAGAAGCTTCTGTGCAAAAAAAAACCCCAACAAACACCTTCATGTTTTTAGATTGTGTTGCTGGCTTAGGCTGAGTCTTTCAGGCATTTAAACTTCTTGTGCCTCAGTTTCCCAATGGGTGTGTAATAACCACCTGAAAGATGCTGCTGTGAAAGAAGGTTAGGTGCTGATCATAAAATACTGTAGAATCCTCAGAGAGGGAAATGCTCCTTCTGCCTCCCTTGAATTACGGTTTTGTGAGTAAATTATTGGGTCCAAATAATGATTTATCAGACAGGGATTGGTTGCTCGGTTCATGTTCGTGCAGAGAGCCAATACCAGGTTTCTGCATCATTTGATGTCCTATGCCTGCCTGTGACATAGCATCAGAAAGGTCTGTCAGTTTTATCTGGTACCTACCATTAGCTCCCTCTGTTTGGGGTAAAATTAACTTCTAAATAAGCAAGAGAAAAGAATGGAGTTCTGCAGACCTGGGGGGCTGTTTTCACAAATGTATGGAACAGCAGTATATGGGCTATATATAGCAAGCTAATATTCTCTAAGAGCGTTCAAGTAGAACAGGCTCTTTTCTGTAGCCCTTTATTTGGGAAAATCCTTACCTGGGTTGGGTTTTGTTGTTTCTTTCATGTGTAAAGTATAATATTTGTTTGATGTGCTCATCTTCAGGAAGAAGTATGAAAAGCCTAATAGTAGTTGTTCTCAATTATTTTCAGTATAAGTCCTAATGAAAGAATTTATTATGATATTAGCCTGGCAAAAGCTATATGGTATGTTTGTTCAGCCCTATATTTTGCCTCTTCTGCTTATGATTAGGAGAATGATTTTCATGCACATTTGAACAGGGGTCATTGCTGTTGGGTTCTTTTTCATCAAATGCAAAAACTTAACAGGTACAACCTGTTCTGGGTGCAACCCCAAGCTTTGCTTTTAATCCCCCTCCCGTGGGCTTCATACGCTGCGCTGTGACTTCTTGCAACCTCAGAGGGCTTGGTTTGAGAGAGGTATATGGCACTGCTGTTAATCCCTGCTGCCAGGCCTTTCTCATAGACTCTCATCAGCTGCTTTGTCTGGGTTTCTAAAGAAGGACCCTTCTAAGGTGCGTTTCACATTGTTATTTGGGCTTGAGCTGGACCCAGTCTTGCAGACTGGATCGCCACAGAGTGAAACCACAGTGCATCCTCACTGCTGTCAGTGATTTGGGATAACTGTAGCCTTCTGGGTGAGGGTTGGATCCGCATGCTGAGCTCCTGTGTGTCAATGAGACACATGCTCTCATGTGCTATACAGAAGTCACAGGCTTATGCAGTCCCATGGCCCAGGTCTGCATAGCTCTGTTGTCCTATTTGTCTGATAGAGAGGAAAGAAAAGAATAGGAGAAAGAGAGGAATGCCACAGAAACAGCACAACTGTGGTCCTTCAGCTTCTCCCCATGAGAAACCTCTTGAAGTTGAGATCAATGTTGGGCAAGAACAGCCACCCCCAGCAGCAAATACAGAAATTGCAGTAATATGCCTCAAATCAAACCAGTTTACTAATTTTTTTTTTTTCAACTAATTGGAAACTTTTGAACCTTGTGTGATTTACAATGACAAAAGCCCGTGATGGAAGAGGATGGTGCAAAGTGCAAGTCAGTGGTGAAGTTGGCACATCGTATACATCGGCACCCCTCTTCTGAAGAACGTCCCTAAAAGTGATAAAATTCTATATTTTGTAACCTCTGCAAACTAGTCTTGTTTCCTAGGTTAATTTATATAAACACACATTGCCTGTACATGCATAATACAAATATCTTGTCATTACTAATGATGTATGTAAGCTTCTTTATTCTCATTTATAGAGCTATGAGGCCATTCAGACCAGCCCTTGTCTTTCACATGGTCAAGTTCAAGAGAACATGCCAGTTTTTATGTGGGTTTTTTTTTTTGGTGTTTTCAGTATCTATTCTACTGCTGCTTCCATAGCAATGAAACAAAGCTTACGAGATAGCCCTACCCTTCCCTGAGGATGTGTTTGTGCAGCAGAGAAGGCCGACCTTCTTCAGAGAGACTCAAATGAAATGCTCAGATCTCAAATGGCTCAAATAGCCCATCTTCCTACCTTCCATCGCTCTGTGCCACTGTATCACATCTGCATACCTCTGGCTTCACCAAGCTTTCTGCAGTGACACTTAGGTAAAAGCATGTGCTTATTTAGGTAGTACTGTATCTACAGAGTTGTAGTCAGGCCTGGTATTCCACATATATGCATTGCAACCTATTGGTATTTTATTGTCTGTATTTTAGTGTGAGGTTTTCTCCCTTTTCTCCAAAAACACCAGTCTTGGTCCGGTTTTGCCAGTTATTCCACACATACACAGCAGGAAACAATTGCTGTCCTGAACAGATTATGCTCTAAAAAGCCAAGGCAGACAAAGGAAGTATTATCATCATTTTGTAAACAAGGAACCAAGGCGCAGAGAGATTAAGTGATTTACCCAAGGTCACCCAGAACATCCGGTCAAAGCCAAGAACTGAACCCGCGTCTCCTGAGTCTCAATCAGGTGATTTAACTATGAGATCAAAGACTTATTGTGTATACCTGATAGTTCTTCCCTAAGACACGGTAACAAAACTTTCTTCAGGTTAGGATCAATGCCACATATGGTGCAGTAAATTTTGTATATGGCGTATCTGTGCTGACAACGTGGACCCACTTCTTGCACTCAGGTTCTTCCCAGGAAATAATTTCCCTTATTATTCTTCCATTGACAGTAATAAATTATCATCCTTCTCTAGATAACCCGCTGAAGGAGAGAGTGTACACACATGGTACATCAGATGAATATATAGAAAACTGTTTTTCTGCAAGGCCAAACTCAGTCATTTCATAGACTATTTAAAATCATTCCGTGCTTAATGAAATAGGGAAATTCCCACGATTATATGGACTTCATTTTGCAGTTTCAACTGGAAGCTGCGAAACAAGATACAAGATCTACATGTCTTATATATATATGTGCCAGAAGAACCCAGCAGAAATCATCAGTATAAAGGCATCATTTGTTATAAGTCTTTTATTTGGACTCTATATTACTCGCTCGTTGGAGTCATTATATCATTCCTGGGATGAACTACTCCTCTGTGCACAGGTCTTCCATAAGGCCCTACATCCTACTTAGTATCTTCAATTTTAAGGGTTCTTTGGGCAAAAAATGACTGTATAGAACAGCACCAGTTAGTCCCAACAGCAGGTCAGGCACGAAGGAAGGAACAGGATCCTGCCCTTCGTGTGCCGCTACGTTGAGGTCATTCTGCAAGTCAAACAACTGCAGATTCATTTCCAAGCGACCACATGATCTACGTACATTTTTACTGTTAATGCCATGAAACATGAGATTAAAGCCCAAGGTGAACATGAGAACCTGGGTTGACTTTGTGGGCTGACATCTCTTGCAAACGGAGCTCAATGAGTGCTGGAACACAGAGGAATGATGAGGTGGAGCCTCACTGTCATTTTTCTGCCTCTGTGGTATCTCAGCAACTTTAAGGAGAGCAAAAGTGGGCTTCCAAATCTCTCCTCAGTGATTCTTAAATGTTTTGTGTTGTCACAAGCTTCCTTGTGAGGTACTCGAGCTCGTAATGTGTTTTTTTGGGTGAGGTTATTTCTATCATTACATGCCTCAGTAAAGGCGTTTGAATGGCAGGGACCTCAACGGTGAAAATAGGATGATCAAAAGGTCTATTGTTGGAGAAAGTCAATCCAAACTGGACAAATGCAATACTGGAGCGTGTTGCATTTCCCAGTTCAATATACCTGTAATACAGCAATCCTCATGTGTCTGACTGCATCAAAGGAAACAGAACTGTTCTGTCTTCTAGTAGGGGAAAAATTTGTGCTTTTGCTGAGACGTACTGATTTCTTGAGCAGGAATTGGATATACATAGATACCATAAATCATGCTTAGTTTTGCCAAAGAATGTAATTATCTTTGGTGTTTTGGATGACATTTCCATTAGGATTTGGACACCACACACCGATTCCTTTTAAAATTATCGATCTGTTAGTACCACAGTTCTACTTACTTCTTTAGATGTTCAAAGAGGATTTTCATTGTGTCATAGTTTGGTCTAGGGAGCTTTTTTACCAGGTTCCTTATGGATTTGATGCGAGTGGCGTTGTCTTGGATTTCTAAGGAGGGAAAAGAGAAAATAACCACTTGAGTGCCATATTAGAACATTGCTTTGCCCAGTACTGTATATGGTACCTTATTGAGAAAAGCCACCATTACTATATGGTTAAAACCAGAATATATCATACTTTCTTTCACCTTAATAGAACACAAGAGTAATTTACAAGGATTAAAAATTCTCTCTTAGTCTTAAGGAAGCATTTTCTGGTTCACAGAATTATATTCTTATGATTTTCATTTATTTTATTAGACTATTAGACCATCATCCAAAGCTAAAGTACATCTAAGTAGTAAGGAACTCACATCTTAAGTGGAATTCCACTTTGGAATTACATTTTTCCAATGGTGCAGCTTCGGTGATGAATGCACTTCTCAGTCCTAGTTGTCATTTTTTTTCGCATCATAATTAAATCAGCTTTATTTATGGATCTCTGCCCTTAACATTGCACCCCGCCATGTTTGAAAATACAAAAGGATTTGCTATTCTTTTCAGCCATGCTTTCTAGCGAACAATTATTTTGAGAAACCCTTCCAGTGTAGCTATTTTCTAGTATCTGTAGCATCTCACAACCGTAATTTCTGTAGGAAACAATTTGTATTTCAGATTTAGAATTAGTAACAAAGACTGCAGTGCTAAGGGCTTTCATCTCTCTTCTGAGATGATAAGAACATTGCCGTCCTTTTTGTTAAGATGTACCTTCCTGTTGATGATTCATAGTTTCGTGTGAAAGATTTGACTGATTTTCATCGATTTGTATATGATGTTGCAACTAAAGCAAAGTCATGTACAACTGTGCTTTGGTTTAGGAACAGATTAGATAAGGTGCCGGTAGGTCTGACATAGGGAAAACATCTTGCATGTTACATGCCCTAGATAACCTGAGAATACTTTTCTGATCTTACCATCTATGATTTAATTATCACCTATCATTCTTTGTATATGTTCCTTTTTAATATTCATATTACCCCAGCACCCAGAGATCTCAAACAGGATTGCATCCCAATTGCAGTAGGTGCTGGCGATTAGTGCCTTGATTCAAAGATTTCACCAAAAAAAAGTTTCAAGCAAAAATTTCCTGCAATCAAAGTGAATTTAAAAATTAAAATTACTAGGATAATAGTCCTTCCTCAGCATGTATTCCTAATTCCTGTTGAGATTAATACTTCATACACACAGATGCAGATGTATATGTCTATATTGTTTATAATTTGAACATTTATACACATATGAAAGATGAGAGCTCAAAGTAGTCAATGCATAGGTATTATTTTCCAGTAAAAAAAAAGACCCTAAACCTTCATATGGATTTATTCTGTAGGAAGTCATGCAATTGACAGTAGTGATAATGAAGTTACACACACACAAAGAATACGCTTCCTGTGTATTTTACTTTTGTTCTGGTTTGACCTATGCAGAGCCTGAACTTCTGAACAGCACAAACTCCCCCAGTCTTGCAACCCAGTCATCCCTTGAAGTTTTCTGCCACAAGCCATTAGTGCTATTTATTTTTGTCCTATGGATGATCTGTCTGGTGGAAATATGACTGAAGCTACAAACTCAACTGATATGAAATTTGCAGAAGTGAATTTATTGTAGGAAGTGGGTGCAAATTCTGTGGGCTTTTTATTTGTGCTGCTTGGTGTGTGTGCATGCTATGATCTTACTAGATAAGTTATATTTAGGTTGGGGCTGCCCTGGCTGTACTGCAACTTCTCAAATAAAGCTTCTCAGCTAGTTTATTTTTAAATTCTGTTTTCTCCTGAGAATTC